AGAACAGTATTTGGTACATAATAACCTAACCATCAATTGAATAGATACAGGAACCTGTAGATAAGCACCATTTCCTTAATATAACAGTATAAAAATTCACAACATCCAGCTGAACACAGCTTCAGCACCCCTAAGTGGTAGCCAAAAGTACACAAATGCCCAGTACCTTGGTGAACTTACTCTCACAGTCAACATACCAGAGCACAGGCAAATAGCAAAAAACAAAACAAAAAAACCACCTCAAAACCGCTTAGAGCAATCTGAGGGTTCTTTTTTAAAAATGCAAAAAATGAGCCAGATCCAGAACATTCTAAAAAGACCAATCTTCATGCTACAAGCCAGGCAAGAGACTGAAATGAGGTCAACATTAGCACTCATGCTATCAGCAGTAAGAAAAGGTATCATGGCCCAAGCATTATTTTAGGGAGCCCAGTACAAACTTGCAGTGCAGACCCCCTGCCACATACATACTACGATCCCAACCTGTACATAGAATAGCATGTTACCAAGGAAAAGTTTCCATTTTAATTTAATTAAACTTTCTGCCTCTCTGAAATTATACCATGCCAGAGCATTTGGCTGCCCGGGGTAAAGAACAATTCCATGTACAGAAGCCAGCCAGATTGACAGTTGACTCTTACCTCAACACTGGTAATTGGTCAGCATTCCTCATTGCGTCAGAGGACAGCAGGCTAATTTAGGGGTGCAGGGCAAGCTGTGTGGCACAAATAACTCCGTTTTCCAACACCCCGCCATCACTTCTTATAACCCCACATCTGCCACCTGAGGTAACTGCCTGACAGAGCACGGTCCACACTAGGACCTTTTTACTAAGGCCCAAATATATACACACTATTTGCCATTGTTGGTAGCAGAAGAGTTATTTGAAGCTTGCTGATTATTTTGTAACTTTTTGGTTGATCGTAATCAAGTTGCTATCCTGTTCATGTTTTGATTTTGTTTTTTGGTTTTTTAGAAGACTAACACAGCTGCAAATGTTTCATAAATAGATCAATTCACTTTAGAGATTTATTTTTCTGGCCCTTTTCATTGAGAAATCATGAATTATCTCACCCAAGCCAATTTACCTTGCAAGTTTGCACACAATAGACAAAATAGATAGGTAGCTTAATGTTCTTGCCCAGGGCAACAAACACTGCACCAAAAGTTAGCTGCTTTTTTGGTAAATCTAATTTAGTTAGATAAGCAGAGGTTGCACACATTCTTCCCAAAGTAGATTTTTTGAGATGCGGTGTTTCACAAGGAAAGTTCTAAGGGAGATCTGTAGGATACTTATGAAGTAAACATTTACTCACATATATTTTGGGCCTGCAAATCCTACATGTAGCACTGACTTCCTCTAGCCCTAGGATCAATAACCCTATTCTGCTTTGTCCTCCCCATCAACTCTCCATCCTTCCTTCCTCTGCAGAAGGAACTCTGAGACTGATGGTTCTTCAGTGAGCAGGTCACATAGGAAAAGCACAAATCTCTCCCTCAAACTGCAAGTTCCCTTTTAACTGCACGAGCACAGTCTCTTTGGACTGTAACGTAGCCTCAGTTGTCCTTTTGGTAATGACGTTGCAGCCTGGGTTGCCCCCACCTTGTAGTTCTCCAGGCCCATATTTGGGCATTGCAGGCAATGATCATTTCCAAAGAACCCTCAAACCAAATGTGCCCTTGCAACCTAAGTTCAACAAAAGGCCAAGAAAACGAGAAGCACTCACTTTTGCAATTCCACTAAGAGATGGCACAAAGGGGAGGCAACTTTTAGGTGCAGCTTTCCACGCCAGCTGCTGATGGAATATGGCTCTGCTGTTCTGCCTTTCACACTCACTCCCTGTGTGGCAGAAAAGGTAACTGGGGCCAGGGCACTCCAGATGACAACTGCTTCCCTGCGTTCTCAACTGGCCCATCAGCTGAGAAGCTGCAGCTGATACTGGTTTCAGGCCAGAGTCATCTGAGAATGGAGGAATAGCATGTTGCTGGTCTTGTGTTCTCTAGCATGCTTCAAAATCTAATATCCTATGCTACTCTGTCTTTTCTCAGAGAAAATGTGACCAATACTGGCCATCAGAAAACAGTGAAGAATATGGCAATATCATTGTCACGTTGAAGAGCACAAAAATACATGCTTGCTATACAGTCCGCCGCTTCACAGTCAGGAATGCAAAAATGAAAAAGGTGAGAAGTGTTATTGCATTGTGGTTTGGACAAAGGATGGACACTAGGAATATGCTATTGGGTGTGATATACACAGCTGCTGTATATCTCTTTGATGAAATATCTGGACCCAGCCAGACAAATGCACTCTCATAGATTTAATAAGGCAGGAGGGATGGGGGGCAAGAGGACACATGGACGGGTATGTAGCCACCAGCACCCTGTCTACATCAGCTGTCTACACTGCATACGCTGAAACCAATCCCACAACACATAACCAACACTTTACATTGGATATTTCTTCTGCAACTGAAACAACTTTCTTCTGCAACTGAAACAAGTTCACTCCAGAGTTGAGCAACTTTATATTGTGTAACCACTCAGTCGCAGTAGGTCCTCAAATGTTCCAGGGGCCCCACCCCAGAGGCAGATTTAGGGGGGCACAACTGGTTTGGTCACACTGAATATGGAGCCTCGGGCATGTCACAACTATGCTTTAGAATGGACCACAAGAGGCTGGGGGTGCCAAATTTTGGCATTGCACAGGGCCCCACTGAAATTTGAGACCCCAAGGTCCAAAGCCCGCATTGCCACAATGGCATCCTGTCATAAAATGGAAGAGCTTTCATTCTGGCATGGGATGATATCTCTACCATTAAATTGGTTCTGGGGATGCTCAACTACCCTACATGCACAAAGAAAGGTCACAGAGGCAGGTATTTGAATAATGGCTGTGCTTGTAGAATGAGAGTCATTGCTAGGCAGTTGTTTTGCCTATGTAATCCTGTTTTTCAGCTCAAGCATGTAGAGTTCAACCCTGCTTTTTGCAGGGATCAGCTGCACTAGCAGCCAATCCAGCTATGTCTCCACCTGCCCACACCTACACCAAACATGATGTCAGGTGTGGGGCACATGGGCATGGAAAACCAAGAAAGGCCAGTGATTTAGTTGTTGTAGAAAAGTATTGTGATTTTATGTATATATTTTTGCAGCAAGTCAAAAGAAGAAATTGAGAAACTCACCAGAAGAATAAGAAATCAAGAAGAGAGACTTTTTATAATAGAATGGGGGGAAATTATTAACTATTTGAAGATACACTGTAAACAAATCAAAACATTAGTGGGACTGATATAAACATGCGCTATAAGAGATACTGAAGGGGAAGATAAGGGATAATTAGTAAATATATTTGAATTAGATATGTAGTAATAAAAATATATAAAATAAATAACCCCAGAAAGGAGGGAAGTCAAGGGGAAGTTAAATTTCACTTGCGAAGATTTTGTTTCTCTTGTTAAAATATTTGTAAAAGATGAAAATGAAATTATTTTTTAAAATTAGAAGAATAGGCATTGGTTAAAGCTGATCTCACACCTGAACATGGTACAGTTCAATCCCCAACTAATATGTTTTCCTCCTGTATGTGTTTCATGTATTCTGGCTCACTAGGGGAACCCTAAAGGACGACAGAATGAAAGGACGGTCATTCAGTATCACTACACACAGTGGCCCGACATGGGTGTGCCTGAATATGCACTGCCAGTGCTGACGTTTGTAAGAAGATCCTCTGCAGCCAGGACTGCTGAGATGGGCCCAGTGGTTGTGCACTGCAGGTACAGCTGAGCAAGTTCAGTCTAATTTTGCGTGCAACATGTTGTAGATTAATATACAACTGAAGTAGAGCATAACAGTATTTCCCATATGTATCGTGCACTTTACAATCAATTATATCCATTTTGCAACAGTGAGATTGTGATTTACCAACACCATTCACTGAATCATTGGCTGAACCAGTTTGAACTTCAATTTCTATGGTCCAATACAAGTTTATTCACTGTCCCGCACAGCACAGCACATTGCTGGGTGAAATTCTCTTATACAGATCTGGGATCTGATAATTCTGTAATCCATAGCAGAACTGGGCAGTTTTCATTGAATTTTAGAGGATTATGCAGTTTGCTGCAGGATTTCATGCTGTGATTGCTTGCTGTCATTATACAGGACAGAGCTTTCAGGTTCTACTGAATAGGTTTAATCCAGAACTGCTCTAAGCCACACCACAGCTGCTCAAGAACATTTGCAACTTTTTCTTCACCCACAACAGATTCAGAAAAGAATTCATCAGATGAAGACATTTAAACTTTTCCAGACTTTTTAATGTTGTTTTAGCATGCTGTATTCTTACATTTTGGCTTTTTTTATCTTTGAATTACCACTAAAAGATTGAATGTTTTTTTGGGGTTTTAATTGTCAGAAAGGGCAAAAGTAAATGAATCCTATTTTCATCAGTGGGATTCCTTAATATGTTCTGATTGCCAAATGTAAGACTCCTTTTTGGGAAAGAGTAGCTGTGTGTGCTACATGTACTTCCTAAATTTGCAGATATTTGCATGTTCACATATTTATTTAATATATTATTTTATTTACTGCATTCATAGCCCACCTTCTTCTTCAAGGAGCTCAAGGTGGCATACATGATTCTTCCCCTCCTCAGAGCCAGTGTGGTGTAGTGGTTAAGAGCGGTAGTCTCGTAATCTGGGGAACCGGGTTCGCGTCTCCGCTCCTCCACATGCAGCTGCTGGGTGACCTTGGGCCAGTCACACTTCTCTGAAGTCCCTCAGCCCCACTCACCTCACAGAGTGTTTGTTGTGGGGGAGGAAGGGAAAGGAGATTGTTAGCTGCTTTGAGACTTCTGAAGGGGAGTGAAAGGCGGGATATCAAATCCAAACTCTTCTTCTTCTTCTTCATTTTGTCCCCACAACAACCCTGTGAAGTAGGTTAGGCAGAGAGGCTGTGACTGGCCCAAGTTGAGCTTCATGGCTGAGCGGGGATTTGCACCCCAGTTTCCCAGGTCCTTGTCCAACACACTAACCGCTACACCACCCCGGCTCAAGTCGCACATAGTCTTGTTTCTCTCAAACCTAGAGAGTATCACCAGCTGAAAATGAATCTTACCAGCTGACCTGTCTTTAAATGCTGAGCAAGACTGGCCAACCTTTTTTTTGGCCCAGAAGCTGCATTCACTGGGAGCTAAGGTTCCTTGTGCAAGGATTCAAAGAAGCACCTAAGATCCCAGCAATTACAAGCAAAGTGAAAGTTGGCCATTGCATATTATAGAAAATTCTAAAGAGCAAGACTTTGTGGATGTAAAGAAGCGTATACTGTATATCAATATTAGCATGGTGCTGCAATTCTTTATTAGTGTTTAACTAGCCTTTCTCTTGAAACTTCTGTTTTGTCAGCGCTGGTGTTGGCAGGACTGGTACCTACATTGTTATAGACAGTATGCTGCAACAGATAAAAGACAAAAGCACAGTTAACGCCCTGGGTTTCCTGAAACACATCAGGACACAGCGCAACTACCTCGTCCAGACAGAGGTAAAACACAGAGACACATTTATTTTTACTGCAGCAAGCTATTGTTGCCAATTAAATATTGCAAGAGGGTCTGCCAAGTGTACTGGAATATATTTCCACTGGAATATCTCCATAGGTTACATACTGCATTTCTTATGTTTTTCTGTGAATTCAGTTTGCAAATGCATGTGGTTGTCGTATTATTATTCAGCAATTGTGTCGCTTTTAAAATAAACCAAGCACTTCACAGAGAATTTCCAAAATGCTAGAAGCAAAAGCTTACGGTCTTTAGTATCCACAAGGCATTTAGTATGCCAAGGTAATGTATATTTTATAACGCAGAGAACTTTTGTAAAGGTGAACAGCAATTGATTAAAGTTGATGCAAGTCTCACTACCACCACCACTTTCCTTTTTTGTAAAAGTAAAGGAGAAAATAGTCTTAGAAAAAGAAGGGAACTGAGGCGTACAGGAGGAAAAGGGAAATTCAATACACACATACACACACACAAACAAAAAGAAGCAGAAGAACAGCAAGCTGCAAAAGAAAAAAAAGCAAGCAAAGATAACTATGGGGGAAATCTGAAAAGTTATCTAAGCAGTATTTTTATTTAGTTGGTTCATTTTTAACTTGCCCTTCATTAAGCAAGTCGTCCAGGTTGGGGTACACTGAACATAAAATCAAACTAGCGATGCAACAGTTCCAATGTTAACAATTGGAAATATTTTAAAAATCCATCAGTATAACCTCTACACCTTACTCAAAAAATCAGTGTCCTAATACATCTGGCTAAAGAGGCAAGCTTTCAGCTGGCACCAAAAGCAACCAAAATTGGTGCCAACCAGATTTCAAGAGGGGAAGGCATTCTAAAATCAGGAAGCCAGCACTAAGAAGGCCCTTCTGAGAGCTGTAGATGTACAAACCTCCCTCGGAGGTGAACTAGCGCTTTTCACACAGTGGGATTGTTGCAAATATAATAGTTGCCTTTAAAGAAACTATGCTCCACTTACTATGGGCTTGCTTCTTCATTCTTTATTTGCTTCCTGCCATTCTAGGAGCAGTATGTTTTTATTCATGATGCCTTGTTGGAAGCCATTCTTGGGAAAGAGACTGAAGTTTCTGCTAACCAGCTACATAGCTATGTTAATAGCATTCTCATACCTGGAATTGGAGGAAAGACTCGGCTAGAGAAACAGTTCAAGGTAAGCTTCATTCTTAGCTTGTTCAGCCCTGCTGCCTTTACTAGGGGGATAAAGTGATCAGACCAAAACAGTGTGGATGGGTGGGAGGAATGGTCTGATGAAAAGGCTTTTGGTTACACCTCTGAAGTTGTCTTAATGTGTAAGGCAAGTTCACCTAGGAGTAGATGGGCATTTAAATATCCCAGTCCTGTGCCATTTAGGACATAATACTCATCCTTCAATTCAGAGCCTGAAAATGGATCAGAGGCTATCCCAACCTGATAGATGCTGCTGAAAGCTGCTGATAGATCCAGCAGAACCAGCAGGGATACACTCCCTTGTGAGCTTCTGGAAAAGGTCAGCCACAAAAGTGACCATGGCCATCTCCATCCTATATCTTGCCTAAAGTGGGACTGAAATGGATCATGATAATCTGTGTCATTGAAGAGATCCTGCAGGTTTATCACCATTGCACCCTCATGCACCTTTCCTAAGAATGATATATTACAGACTGGGTGGAATTTTAAACATATTTAAAACATATATCTAAAACACATCAGCATCTACGTGCCATTATAGGTAAAGGTAAAGGTACCCCTGCCCATACGGGCCAGTCTTGACAGACTCTAGGGTTGTGCACCCATCTCACTCTATAGGCCAGGGGCCAGCGCTGTCCGCAGACACTTCCGGGTCACGTGGCCAGCGTGACAAGCTGCATCTGGCGAGCCAGCGCAGCACACGGAAACGCCGTTTACCTTCCCGCTAGTAAGCGGTCCCTATTTACCTACTTGCACCTGGGGGTGCTTTCGAACTGCTAGGTTGGCAGGCGCTGGGACCGAGCAACGGGAGCGCACCCCGCCGCGGGGATTCGAACCGCCGACCTTTCGATCGGCAAGTCCTAGGCGCTGAGGCTTTAACCCACAGTGCCACCCGCGTCCCTGCGTGCCATTATAGGCTTGGCTAAAGAAACATGTTTTAAACAAGTGACAAAAGGTGTACAGTAAAAGCACCTTCCTGATGTCAATAAGCAGAGAATTCCAAAGTAGAGGTGCCGCCGCACTGAAAGATTGATTTGTGACAACTGTGGTATGAGTATTGTGTGTCATCTGTAACGGTGCCTATTCTGCAGATTGAAGCGATTGAGAGCGCACGTGTAACGTAAGGCGATCTCACAAGTAAACTGGTCTCAAGCTGTTAAGGGCTCTCTGTACTAAAAGTAACACCTTGATCTCGTCCACATCTTCAGTGACACAAGGGAAAAGCTATCCATAAAAAGTAGATCAAGTAGGACCCAGGTTTACACTTATTGAACCTGCATTAACTGTGGCTAGTGATGTGAGGTGAGAATATTCTCGAAAATGAGAATATTCTCTGCTAAAAAATTCTCTGGAGAATATTCTCCACATTCAATGGTATAAGGTTCCATTTACCAGAGATTGGCATTATATTATCAGATAATGATAACATATTTAATGTTAATGGCTTCTTTTTTATATGTACGCATATAGTTATGTTTATCAAGCTGTGTTTTAGTCACCAAAACAGTTATTAAGTGTTAGAGCTATTAGGAGCACAAGATAGACTATTACTGAATTTACTTGTATCAAACCTTAACATGCCAATTGTATTTTTTGACATGTCCTGTAATACGTACATGTTCTAATGGAAGAATAAAATATGATTTAACTACTGAGTTTTCTTATACCAAACCTTAGCATGACAATTACTAGTGCCATCACATTAGAATGATTTAACTTTAACTATAAAACATGTTTTACTTTTTTATTTGATACTTGCTAGTGACAAGTAGGCTTGTGCTTATATATTTTCACTGTGGTTCCTTTACTAAATATACGGTTAGTGGTGAGTCATTCACGTTGAATTTTCAATTTCAAGTTTGGTGCAAAAAAATCAAAGAATGTAAATTCACGTTATTGAATAAAAGTATCTGTACAATTTTTGGTTGCCATCTGAACAAGTTTACCCATTAATAAACATGTGTATTAACAAATTATATCATTCTGAATGCATTAAATTATATCATTTTCAATGCATTAGAATGAATATTCTATTTTAAATGAAAATTTTCTAATACTCTCAATACTTAGTCAAGAATATTCTCAAGAATATTCTCCAAAAGATTATTCTTGAGAATTTAACATCACTAACGGTGGCGTCCAAGTGGGAACAAAATATCTGATGATTTTGTCTGTGAAGTATCTTGAGAAGCAGTCACAGTAAGCTCACTTTTTACCATGAAAGTATCACAGTCAACTTGGCAGGCAAAATAGGCAAGCCCAGGAATAACTGATCTCAGCTGCAGCATTCAGGTTCACAATAGCAGCAAGGAGGAAAAATTCCTTAGGCGTAGTCTTGTTTTGATGTTTTATAAAAGAACAGAGAGAGCTTTTTTTGTTTCCTGAGACCTGTTCTGACCTACATATATCTTTGGGGCTTTGCAATATGTCTTCAGCAGAACTCAAATCGACATTGTCAAACCAGGTTGGAATGGAATTTCATTCACCCTGCGTGATATAAATGAGACCTATACAAACTTGAGGGCCCAATATGTGTTTGTATAAGTACCTTTCTTTAGGCAGAAAGTTCAGTTCATCTTGGCATTTTGAATGCTTTTAGCATATTTTAGTTTAGTCTTCCAGAGATGCACTTTTTTCCAGAAATAAGAAATATTTGTGTGTGAGAAAGAGAAAGAACTGCAAAGGACTTAATCACTCTTGCTTATTTTTTTAGCTGGTTATGCAATGCAATGCTAAGTATGTGGAGTGCTTCAGTGCTCAGAAGGACTGCAACAAAGAAAAGAACAGGAACTCATCAGTTGTGCCATGTAAGATCACATCTTAAAGTCTGATTGTTGTGCTGAATAATTTCCTTGTGCTAAATTCTGAATTGTGTTTGCATGAAGTGATGTGGGCCCTCAATTGGATTGTTTTGTGCTATTGGGTCAGAGTTCTTTTTAAATATAAATCTGATTTGTGGCTCCTGATGCTGGATGCATGTTAATGCATTCCAGTGCATAAATACAAATAAGTTTTGAACCAAGTGAAAGTATAAGAGTTTAATATAGTGATGAAGTATTTTCAGATATTTTCAGGGAACTTAATGCAGCTTCCAGGAATTTTCAGTTCTCTTTTCCTGCAGAAATTCAATTATCAGCACTTTCAGAAGTGCAAAATAATTTTAGGGAAGAAAAAATCCTAAGGGAAAAGACCCCACCCCCCCTGCGAAAAGCTCAATGCATTCTGCCCATGCTCAGTAGCCATATAATGCTATTTGTTGGTGGGGAGATGAAAAACGAGGTAGGCGTGGGAATGGAACAGAGTATATTGTGAAGGAGAGCATGGCTGGCTGGGACACTGAACAGGAGGACTACACGCTGCAGCTTTTTGTTGCAGGACCCAAATATTTATGGCATTGGTTTTCAAAGTGTTGTAATTCACCCCAATTCTTCATGCCAATGGGTGAATAAATCTAAATAAGTAAATGGGGTATGCATCATTAAGGATGATTTGTCCGCGTTAGTCCTACAATAAAAATATTACATCTGAAATATTAAGTTGATCCTTAGAAGCGCTTCAGTGGCTGGGAGGCAAAACTGATCTGGGGTCATTGACACCAGTGGCCTAAATCAGCTGAAATCCAAGTATTTTTGCTTATCTGCTTTACTGAAGTTTTTTATGCTCACTCCTCAAAAGAACTGCTAAGTGTGGCTACCTCTGCAGTCATTGGTATCCAAACCTTTTCCTAAGAGGGCCAGATTTGATGAAGTGAAGGGTCGTGAGGGCCAACCAAAGTTGTTGACCTTTTTTTAGGATTTTACCCCAAAGTTGAATTTAGAATTGATGAGGATTTTACCCCAGGAAATAAACTGCCATGGGGCCTGGATTAAACCAACCAGTGGGCCAGATTAGGCCCTCGAAACAGACTTTGGACATGCCTGGTCTAGATACATCCACTGCTGTGTGTGTGCATTCTGTGGTAGTTAACTTCAATTAATGTGGTTCTCAGAGGATAGCTGCTGACTTGCCCTGAAGTTAGGGAAGTGGCTGTTGCTGTTGCTACTTTTGGGAAGGGATGAGAGCAGCAAAAATAAATCAAATGTTGTTGTGTGCAGTTGCTCATAAATGATCTGATCATCATCAAATCTTTATTTCATTTATTACATTTTCATCCTCTGCCCTTTCTCCAAGGAGCTCAAGGCACATAGTCCTGACTCTCTTTATCCTCACAACAAACTTGTGATGTAAATTAGGCTGGGAGTATCTGGCCCAAGGCCCTGGGTGAATTTCAGAGTGGAGAGGGAATTCGCTATTAACTATTACTTGACATCTGGGGATAGCAGAAAGTAGTAAAATTTTATTGCTGAAATTATATCCTTGTGCAAACATTTCATTTTATCATTTTTATAGCTTTATCTCCTGCATGAGCTCAGCAAATTTTATGATACTGGGTCTGGCCCTGGGAGAAATAGGAGTTGTGTTATGATAGCTGTGCTAAGATTGTGAGTTTTGTTTGATAGGGGCTTTTTGTCTCTTCATTTGTTTGTTTACAGCTGAACGAGCAAGGGTGGGACTGGCACCATTACCTGGAATGAAAGGAACTGATTACATTAATGCCTCTTATATTATGGTAAGAAAATCAACAGAAAGTAACCGAATATAAAATTGTTCAATCTGTTGGTTTTATCTATTGTTGCAAATAGCTCTTGTGTTTCTTTTTTCAATGAGGTGATTCTTTTTTTCAAAGAACAGCCACTGTGTGCAACAAACGTTATACAGTGCTGCTTAGAATTAAAAGAAATTCATTTTTTATAACTTAGGGAATTAGGGACACAATTCATCCTCTGCTGCATGCACAGCTCATGGGATGAGATCACCACAAGAGTTTCAATTGAGTCTTCTAACTCTGATTCCCTTGCCAGCCCTTGACTGGGCAGATGTTCGCTAAAGCATGCCAGCTATT